ATTTGCATGCACGTCTTCGTGCCCCAATACATCCCTGCGTGTACCAGTACGGTACAATATATTTTGGTTCTGTATGCGCTGTACTTGTATGTGTTTCTCTTGGCTGTCACTTTCTTTTTGTCACATTGCTTGTACAATAATATTTTTTGCTGGCTCTTCTGCTTGTAGTCATATCTTTTGGCTCTTTGTGCCTCATTAATATTTAATTTAAAAAAAATCAATATGTATGTCATGCAAGTCACACATTTTTACCATTTTTCTGGGCTCTTTTATGTTAGCAAAGGCAAAGTGAAATAAATAAGAGGAAACATAGAATTTGGAACATCTACGACGCCTAAAAAATTCTCATTTCTATGTTATGTGTTGTGTGCGTGTGTGTGTGCGGTTGCTTGGCTTCGCCTCGTTCGTTTGCATCTCGCTGTTTTGTTGCTTTGAAGTTTTATTTTCTCCACTTGCAGTCGACTTGCTGCGAAGCCTTTGGATTTTTCTAGGCAATTGGTTAAGCTGTAAGTTTTTTCTTCCTATTTTATATATATTTTTATTTTTTTGGCTTTTGCTATCATTTTTATAAATGGTTGACTGCCATATCAGCTGCGCTCCGCCTCATTTCTCGTGCCTTTGAAATTTATTACTTCGAAACACATGGCCAATATGCTAGCGCTTGCCTGTGCAGCTCCACTCAGCTCCATTCAGCTCTATTCAGCTCTGTTTTTCATAAATTCTTAATTTAATACCTAAAATGTGGAGCGGAAATGCTTTTAGTCTGATTCTTGCCTGTGGTTGGCTGCCTCTTTTTGCTGTTGAGCGTTTTTTGTTCATTATTAATTTCTAATTTTAAAGTAGGAAACTCAATTGCCTTCTAAAAGTGTGAAAAATGTGGTGTAATGTCCCTCAACCAAAGAGGTAATTTAAACTGTGTCAGGTGTGCAAGACCGTAATTCAACCTTGTGAAATGCGAGAGTGAGTCTCACATTTTCGGAGTACGGTCAGGTGAAGGTTCTGCTCCTACTGCTCAAACAATCAGCCTTTTTTGTTGGTCTTTCAGCGGCTAATAGTGTGGCAGAAGAGAGGATTCACCTTCGAGTAAAATTAATCGTTTTTCTTCTTTACATTGTCCATTAGAATTTTCCTGCTGGCCCTAGGAATAACTGGTCCAAACGAACCATTGCGTTCGAAGGAAAAGTCCAATTTTTAGACCCAAGCTCTTGTAGAATATTTGTTGCATGAGCTTTTGGAGTACTTGCCTGTCTTTGGTCCAAGGCCTACTTCCTATGTTTCATGATGAGATCGTTCGCCATTGAATTGTGCTCGGGGGTAAATAAAACAAGAAAAAGCATTAACTTCGGCTGCTCTTGGCTATAATACCCTTCGCAGATGTATTTTTTTAAACATAAAATGGTACTTATTTTGACTTTGATCGATCAATTTGAATGGCAGCTATAACTTATAGTGATTCGATCTGAACAATATATTCGGAGATTGTAGCGCTGTCGTGGATAATAAAATCTGCGAAATTTCTTGAAGATAACTCGTCAAATGAAAAAGGTTTTCATACAAGCACATAACTCCGATCGTTCGATTTTTATGGCAGCTATATGCAAAAGTAGTCCGATATATGCGGTTCCAACAAACGAGGAGCTTCTTGGTGAGAAAGTGACGTGTGCTAAATTTAAGACCAATATCGCAAAAACTGAGAGACTAATTCGCGTATATACAGACAGACGGAAATGGCTTAATCGACTCAGAACGTAACGCGGATCATTTATAAGTATACATTATAGAGTCTCCGACGTTGCCTTTTGGTTGTTACAAGCATCCTGGCAAACTTAATATACCCTGTTCAGGGTGTAAAGTGAAGATAAGTTAAACGACTCTAGGTATAAGCTTAAATAGTAGAATTGAATAGGGTTTCAAAAACCTTGATCCCGATGTCAGAACTCGAATTAAGAACTCTTCGGTAGATATTTATTATATACAAGGAATTAAATGCTTACTGATGCTTAGGCAGCTCGTGCTTCGCTAATAATATTGTGCGGTAAATTTCGCTCAAATGTCACATGTAGCAGACTGAATTGCCACCGAAAATAATATTTCAAAGAATTAGTTTCATAATAGCGTAAGCTTCATTAATTTTTTAAGTCTTCCATGCACGGCATACGCCAACGCACACATCCCACGTTTTCTAACCAAAAAATATATAACTTTATCGCTTTAAACGACCGGAAGCAAAGATTATGCAAATTTTTACGCATTTATCTTACTCGCCCATTTGCTTAGCATCGCGTTGATGAAGCTTCGAAATTTTAAAATAGGTTGTTATATACTTGCCACATCAGTGTCCTTTTTCCGTCTCTTTATTTGTAATATGTATGCGCGCGACAATTTTATTACAGAAATGTCAAATATTCTGCCTTTAATTTTTCGCTCTTGCGCAGTTTCATGATAAAAATTCGGTTTACTGGCGTTTTGTACTTGGCTTCTTGGTTTAAATAAATTTCCTATTTATTTTAATTAACAGTATTTTAATTGAATAGCACAATTTTATTACAGAAATGTCAAATATTCTCCCTTTAATTTTTCGCTCTTGCGCAGTTTCATGATAAAAATTCGGTTTACTGGCGTTTTGTACTTGGCTTCTTGGTTTAACAGTATTTTAATTGAATAGCACAAATAGCGGTGCTTATTGAGCATTTAACTTCCAGTTGCACTTGCTGCTCGCGAGACTTGGCAGACCAGCCGAAATTGCTCTTTGTCTGTGTGTGCAACAAGTACGTCGCACCGTATTTGCATGCCAAAAAGTCGCACACTTGGAGAGACTTAGTCCCCGCGCTTTATTTAAACTCTCTGCGAAATATCATACTTCAAATGCCACGTTCGCACTTTTTCGCGCTAAGCCTTAGTGAGCGGCAGCGGTGCAGTGCGTATTTGAACAGCCTGATTGTGCTGCTGCACAGCTGGTGGTCTGGGCTGGACATGCAAAGGTAATTTAAATTTTATTAGACCACATAATGTATTTACATTTGCATTATTTCAACTTTCCAGCGACCGCGCGTCGCACTTCAGCTCCGCAGCCACAACCGCGTGGCGTCCAACTGCCACGTAGCCGCTCGAATAGCTGCGCACTGGGGCGTATGAGTACTAATTCGTCTGGCGCACACCATCACCGCCAGCGACACTTGTCCTTTGGCAATTCGCAGGGCTTTAAACATGCGCACGAGTGCAACGCGTAAATCACAAAAATGCGCTGTAACTATAAATTTGGTAGCCAGCGTCCCTGCACCTATGCCCGTGGTTGTTGCATTTGTTGGCTGCGCGCCGGGCAGGTTAATGTTGTGGCTTTCAACGGCATGTGGCTCGCTATGCGGTTGTGTTGCATGTCCTCACGATGTTTTATATCGCACTGTTGGTTATTGCTGCGACTGAAAGAATGTGTGTGTGATGTGCTGCAGTCGCTCTCCGCACGCCAAACCCACTCGCATAATAGCACAAATGCAAAACTCACGCATTTAGCCAAGCGGCCAACCAACTGCATTGTACATACACACGCGTGCATGTGATGCCTTGTAAATGCAAGTATCTCGAAGCAGCAAAAGTTCAGTCGAGCGCAGACAATAAATCCCGCGAGAGTGCTTCGGTTCTCCTTGCACGCTTCCCTTTGCGGGTCGTGACTTCTGTTTGATTTCTGTTATTTCACAGTTGCATACATACAAGTATATGCGTGTTTGCGCTTCGGTTGATTGTTCGCGCTCGCTCATAACGTAGGAATTATTCAGTGCTTTTAATGTTCCAACAGATTGATTAAGCTGTGCTTTGTCCGCTGGGGAACGCTAAATGCTGGGTTAGAATGTCAGGCTCCGACAACAGTTAGCGGAAGAGCAGCGCATTCTTCCATGCACATACTTTACATGCGTCGTTGTATGAGTGTGTGTGCATACATGAGAGAATTAATACTTGGTAAATAGTGCGGTTTTATTTATGCAACAAATGGTAGCATATGCGTTCAACTATTGTTGGCCCTAAGTGACATGAAGTAGGTTAGAATTGCATAAATTGAATAAGACCGCATGTTGACTTACTGTAGCGTTGTATTTATGATCCCTCACTAATTTGTCCATAAAACTTAGCTAACGTGTAGTAAATTCTTTCTCCGTATAATTTAAATAGAGTTGAGCCTATAGCGGTATAAAGTGCCATGTGAGTCTTGAAACCGAAGTATGTATAAATATAGAGTACATATGTAGATACGGAAAAATATATATGTATTACAGTGGAATTGTTTTTTTACTTAGCCTGAGGATAAAATTTGTAAATTATAAAAAAAGAAAATTTTTCAAAAAAAAAAATTTTTTTTTAACATCTAGAGGTGACCCACTCAGTTTTTAAGTAAATTTCGAGTTAAAATTATATATCGTAAAAAGCTTTGATAAATGTTCTAGAAGCTGTGGACAATCCTCTTTCTGGCCAATTAAAAGTTATCAACTGAAACTGAACTGTTGTCATTATTGGAGTTTAAAAAAAGGTCTTAAACGACAACATGCTTTCCTTAAGCGTTAAAATAAATTTTGAGTCAAAAACCGTCAAATCGGCAATTTTTGAACAAATGTGAAGAGTTTAAACTAAAAAAAAATTGTTTTGTACAAAAAATATTTTAACTCGAAATTTACTTTAAAAGTCTAGAGGGGCCCTAGATGTTAAAAAATTTTTTTTTTCAAAAATTTTCTTTTTATTTAATCTACAAATTTACCCTTAGGCTAAGCAAACAAAAAAAAAATTTCGCTTCACCCTAATATATATAATATAAATTAGAAAACTTTGGAGCTGCTGTCTGTAACAGCCTCAAGGAACAAATTTAATTCCAAACATTAGATGGCAGCCCATAACTGCAATCTATTGGTGAGAATCCCATATTACTCAGCTATTCTACAATAATTCCCTTACTCTTTTAAAAAATTTTGCTAAATAATTCACTAAACACATTAATTTTTCTAATATTCACGCAGTGCGTCTTGTAATGCGCCTTGGGGGCGGCTTACCATACGACGGCGACCCCCCGACAATGAGCGCAGCTGGCAATGATTATGCAGAATTATGCGATCTTGGACCCTCACGATGGAGTTCGCGTGGCTATTATTATGCACCACCCGCACATGCGTCCGCCTTACATCCTAGTGCCGCGCCCGGCCTACAACAACCGCAATCCTCATCCAGCGTACCGACCGGCAGTTCGGCCGGTCTCAGTGCGCATCCGTTGCGCACACCGAGCAGTTACGAGGCGGAAGACGTTTCTTTTGGCATGATAAGTCCACCGCCGGGTGTGATCGGTCCGTCGTCGGTTGGTCTAAGCGGTACGTACGGCATCGGTTCGCGTATTGGCAATAGTACAAGTTCGTTACGTGGCGGCCGTTCCGGTCTTTATTATTCACCGCCCGGCACATCATATACAATTGTGGAAAGACCACATTCGCCACACTACTATTACAATACGGCTGGTGCACCAACGAAGGGTGGCTCATTGCCGGGACGCGGTTCGTCATATCTATCGTCCACAGCATCACCCACCAGCCACATGGCGGCCACAGGTGGTGGAGGCACGTTACCTAACTCAACGGCGACGTTGGGTGGGCGCGCGCACAGCAGTATGGGCATGGCGAATGGTAATAAAAAGCGTCCTATCTCGCCGGAGCAAGTGTTGCGCATGTTCGGTGCGACGCAATCCTCTTCAGTTCCTACAAGCAGCTATCACTATAGCAACGGCACAAGAGATCGTACTGGACGCCGCAGCCCGGCGAGTAGTCCGCCCTCGACCACGCATCAGGTGAGTGCACGGAATAATTACACATTAATTGAATTAGATGTGTATTTTTGTCTACTGCTTGCAGATGTATCGTGAGCGAGATCGAGATCGTAGCATAACGAATATACATGAATTAACCACACGTACCATTAACATGTCACGCGATCAGCAGATCGATCATGGTTTTGGTATTTGTGTTAAAGGAGGAAAAGACTCAGGTAATTCAAAGAAACAAATATTGAGTTTATCATAAATAAAAGTACAACAGCGTACAACCGTTCCCAGCGGCTATAAGTAGGGTCATTCTATCAAATAGGCTTGACTATTTTAAATCTGTGATTGAGACTGATATCAAAACAGAATTACCTAACCAATATTGCTATCTTAATACTGAGCTAACGTGGCTTGACCGAGCTTCTCATCACATATATGTCTTTTTTTTTGTTGGTGCATTCTCATTTGTATTTCGAGTTCAAATTTGTGTGCTTGAAGAGTCCTTCATCTCCAAGCGCTCAGCACCATTTAACTATAGTATGTAGAAAAAGTAGAACAAGAAGAAGATAAGTTTACGCATAGAAATACTATATCTTACCTACTGTTAAGACGTTATCTGTTTATCACTTGACTATTAAAACTTATTCAGAAATTCTAAAAATTCAACTAGCTTTAAATATTGTTCAGCAATTTACTAAAAAATGCATTAAAGGCATGCTGTTCTATCTGCTTCGAACGCCTTCAGCTGCGCTCTGACCTTGATCGACAAAGATTGCTTTTCACTGCCTTACACAGGCGGGCACAGGCCCTCCAACACGCTTCCTAAAACCCTTCAAAAACGGTGCATTCTTCAACTGGCATACATGTGTATGCGTACGTGTGTGTGCGAGAGCGTGCGCCTATGCATGTGACACATTTGAATGTAATTTGACATTCTTTGTTTTCCTTTTGCGCTTTGACGTTTCTCCTTGCTTGGCAGTGAAGCAGCCAGCAGACAAAACGAACATTTTCGTACATGAGCACACTGCGGCATTTCCAGCATTGTGTGGGGAGAGGCGTATCGAGGAGGGCTAGGAGCAAAATAATAATGGTAAAACAACAAAACTATTAACCACAAAAGTGGCAGGCACAACAAAAACAACGCTCGTACATACGTCAATGGCAGCAACCGGCAATGCCGCAGTCGAGTTATTTCTTTTATTTGCTTATTTCTTTATATGGTGTACGTATAGGTGTGTGTGTGTGTGTGCGCTTGCTACCCTCTTTCGGTGGCCTTCGGTTATTGTTATAACACACCCACACTAACGCGCGCACAAAAACAAATACTGCAGAATTGCAGTGATATCGGAAAATACTTATGTGCTGCACGGCAAACAAGCAGAAGCACGAAGTAGAGCGACACAATTGCAACGAGCCGCAGAGACCGCAAAACCGAGCGCAGGCGGTGTATTGCAGCTGAGCGAGCGCAGCGAAGGGCATGCAAGACACATAAATACCCTCACATACAGCATTACGTCAATTATTACGTATTTATGTATGTGTGCTTGTGTGTATGCATGTATGCAGTGTGCCATACTTAACGCTTAATGCCAGTGATATTTATAACGTAACTGCATTGTTGTAATTTTTAAATCAATAAATTCTATTATAGCTCGTGAGACGACGTCGCTGTCATAGTAAAGCTCTCCATTCATATACATTTCTTCAGCACGTTTGTATGCACAGTTGCAGCTATGCACATAAGTACACCCCTCTCGTTGTATTTATGGTGAGAATTACAGTGCTGCTAAGACCCATATCAGCCTTAATGGGCGGCACGTACTCGGTTGACATCGTTACAGATATCTGGCATGACCCACGCGGCACGCATCTACGCACGCACGCACACACGCAACACTCACATCTCGCCAACACGAGCTACGCTGCCGGCTTGCAACTGTCACAAGTGCGCATTCAGCTGCAAAACAGGCTTAAGGCTGCATGTCGGTTAACTGGGCAGTCAGTCACTCATGCGCCGCGCCACTGACCAAGCTGTATCCACACTGGCGTGCGCTTTTCGTTTACAGCGTGTGACATTTGTTGTCGCCTGCGGTGTGCACGTTGCATACACGGCTGCATGCACCATTTTTAATTACTGCAATTTGATAAAAATCGCAAATTCAATCTGTTGGCGCAGCTGATCCGCTTGCAGTTAATGTGTTTACGAGTTGCACTGATGCATAATGAAAAATTAATTGAAAAATCCTTTGCTTCGCATAGTACACTTTATTTATATTTGAAGGGGCTTGCTACGATTCAAAGTAAACATACTTGTTTGGCCTGCGCGAGCTGCCCGCCTGACATTTGCTGCTAAATTTATGTTGTTATATTTAAGTGTTGTCTTTAATTAGAGCAATCCTTTTGACAAGACGTATGAGGATTTAGTGTTGGCTTTGATATTTCCGGTGCGCACAACAGCCAGCTTTCGTGTGTTTTGTCTCTTTGTAGGGCATATACTTGTACATACATACATGCCTACAGGTTGTTTAACACAATTCTTGTTTTCGTTCAATAAACGTTATTTATAGTTTAAACAGTCACTGAGGCAAAATCGTGAACAGAATCAGCTGATAAGACCTATCTTATGAGAGCGCAATGTAAATGAACACTCCATCCATCGCTTCTACCGTCCGCTTCTACAGAACGTACGGTAGGATATCCGCGAAAATTTGTCCCGTAGAAACGAGTCAGCTGATTGCTTTCTTGCAACGCAAGGTTGCCAGTCTCGATATTTTGTATTAATTAAAAAAGTAACTTGATATATTTGAAATATTCTTAAAATTATTCAAAACCACATTCGAATACATTTATTTATAAATAGGTAGACTATTTTTAATAATTGGATTTAGTTTTGAGCTTTTACATTATGAAAAATTATAACTAAAAAACTAAATGTGTGAAAAATCGTGTACACAAATAGAACAATGGCAATATTGGTGAAATGCAAACAAAAGAGAACAACTGATTTCTGCGTTGCAACTACGGGCATAACTTATGACAAATTTGGTTTGATACGGGCGGTAAGTGCGGAAGAGATGAATGTCCGTGACTGTTTGAGCTATTAGAATTGTAAAGTGAAGTTTTCAGACGGAGACCCTATACAATTTACGGTATTAGTAAATATGCAACGTGACAAGCTAAGTCGATTTAGCCATGCCTGTCTGTCTGTCCATCTGTCCAAATTTCGCATACAAGAAGCTGCTCATTCGTTAGAATCATTGGATAACTGTTTCATTTGGTAAACTTCCCTACCAAATTAAGCATATATTATTATCCAAGGTAAAGTTTCAATCTGCGAACATATTATTTGATTCGAACTGCTATAGCATATAGCTGTCATACGAGCTGATTGATCAAAAGCAAGTGATTGTGTCGATAACTGTTTTACTTGAGAAATTATCTTTACGAAATTCAGCGTATAGCATTGGTCAAGGCAGCGCTGCAATCCCCGAATATATTGTTCAGATCGAACCACTATAACATATAGCTATCACACTAATTGAACGAGGTTAAAGTTTTTCCTTGTCTTTCCGAATGTAGCAAATATTTTACTTCTTTTAAGTCAAACCATAATTATTTACAAATAACTAAAAATTCACCGGCGAACGTACATATATTGCTAGACAATTTTCATTTTCCTACAATTATTTTACTAACCTCAACATATTTATTTATTATGTACAGAAAGTGTACTAACCTATTTGTTGAAAATCTACTTTGCACTGTCGCTGCAACTGAGAATTAATTTATCCCTTTTATCTTTCATTACTTTTGCCACGCAACAACTTTCAATTACAACACCAAACCAATTGTGCAACTAATCACCTCAATGAACACGCAATTCAACGATTTAATAACGACACGATTAATATACACAATGTGAATGATGGCACCTGTGGGCGCTGTGGTGCAACGGCAGGATTAGGCGTCTATATCTCACGCATCGAAGAGAATTCAGTGGCAGAGCGCGCCGGCCTGCGCCCCGGTGATACAATCCTAGAGGTGAATGGCACGCCGTTCACTTCAATAAATCACGAGGAGGCGTTAAAAGTGAGTATGATATTATTGGCTATTGAACATTATCACCAATCGCATATTGAGCACATAACTATCATATCTATCAACAACTACCTTTGCGTTATATAATCGCATAATCGGGCAATCAATCAAACGTATAATCATGCTATCGAACAATCGATTGATCATTAAGCATAGATAGACAAATACTTGCATGAGTACTTATATATATACACACACACACACACCACACACACGCACACTCAACCTTGGGCATAACACATTTTCAGCATAAAATTTGCATTAAAGTAGATTTGTAGCCATAGTGAATACACATACATACATACATACATATAATACCTACAAAGCGCGTATATTTGCCATTAAAAATTTCGCTCGTTCCATTACGAAATCATTAACAGCTTCATGTCTACACATATAGACCGGCATGCATACATACATAGATGTTTTACATGTGTGAAAATGGCCACCTCGTTAGCGTAATGACAATAGTTTTCGCCATACTTTGTAAAATTTAATGCCTCACCCATATACAGACGCACAAATGTATACGTTCACACACACACACACACACACATGTACGAATATTTGCAAATTGTTGCCAGATTGCAGTCTTCATTCAGAACAACACATGCTCATAAAGATATTTATGTGCGTGTGTGAGTGCATACATCAACTGGCGCATAATTCCAGCACACTCATACATAAATGGATATTTATCATGAATTCAGTGCATTTTACATATCCACACACATACATATACCGGCACACTAACAGCTCATTGCCATTCAGGCTTTGGAGCAGCCATTAAATTATACTAACAATGAAGTTAACTGTGTTGGAGCATTGTAAATTTTTTTAATGTTGTTGTACACTTTATTGATTTTTAATGTAATTTCCTTTGCATTCCATAATGACAAAACATACACACACACATACAAACATGCACATGCACATGCCTGTGAGATGTTACTAACGCCGACGATGAGCACATGTTGTGCCACCCTATATTCAGCAGCAGTAATGTCAATTGTCGTCGATCAGCTTACATGCCCCAACAACAATTTATATAGCATACATACACATACTTGTACACATGCTTGCATTTAGCTCACAAAACGTTTTATATTCAAATCCGCTCATGCACTACATTTACGCACACATACACACACGCTCGCACACCTAAATATGTACGTTTGTATGTTTGAAAGCAACTCATCTGCAAAACTTAATTGAATCGATTTATGTGTTGCACATCTAACTGTCATCGCTTTGCAACATAGTAGTTGTTGTAGTTAGTTGCACTCACGGCTGCTTTAGCTTACAAGGCGAATTCGAATTGTTTGACTGGTATGTGTGATTTTATTGCTGATGACAATGAGACTACCTGCTATTCGTATACTGTTGAGCTGAGAAAATGCTCATAGGCAGTTACTAAGCTGCTCTGAAAAGTGCATAATTTTTGAAAGGCATACGACATTCTTGTAGCATAATTTTAGGCGAATCATATACTATTCCTTTAGTTTACATTGCAACTGTGTACTTTTCGTCTGGGTTTTTGAAACAATTTTTGGAATAAATCCATAGTCATTAACTCACACTTGCAACTGCGGACGATATGATTACTCATATACTCGTATAATGTGTGTTTGTGTCACTACTATAAACTGTCATCTGTCACCTGACAAATCTCACACACTTTAGAAGACTTGTCGTCACTGCAGTGCTTATGAAAAAATACGCTCATAGCGCATGCAATTATAGTGAGAATTCTCTTTGTTTATACAATATGATAAAGGTGTATAACTGGCATTGTTTAGTGATTATGGATTCTTAAACAGTCATGACTGCTGATGGATATATGAATAGCTTTTCAACCTGTAGTATACTTGTACTAACAGAGAATTGAGTAGACGATTACAGTGACTAGCGCTGATTTCTTCATAGTATGGCTCTCATCGAGGCGTATATTTGTTGAGAAATTTTGAAGGCTTTTAGCATGGAATCCGATACCAATTCCAAAGGCTTTGTAACTACACTTGTTTACAATGATTTTGCGACTGTGTTGTTAGAGGCTGTTTATTGCTAATTTTGGGTTGCTAAAACCGAAAATGATAGTAAAAATTTCCTAGCGCGTAGAATTTTTTTGTATTGTAGTCAAGTGATGTAGGCGTCTAACCACAACCATTTACTGATATGACAAAAATAGCTGTAGGTGTTGGAAAATTTTTGAACTCAAATTCTTATTCAGAACACCTCAAATACCTCCACAGATTTACTAACCCCACCATTTGCTAAAATGACAAAAAAAAGTTATGGAAAATTTTTTAACTCAAATTCTTATTCAGAACACCTCAAATACCTTGACAGACCTCTAAGCACATCAGTCGCAAATTTTTTCTTCAGATTTGTTGATTAGTGTTATTATAAACCTTAAATATGTGTTCAAACAAATGGCATACATATATGCGAAATAACTTTATACTTGTAGTAATTTTAAAATATTTAGAGTCGCATTTCAACCGATGCCTTCTTCAGAATGAGAACTTTTTCACTTATTATGTATAGCAAGCGATTTCATAAATATATTGTATGAAGACATTATAGAACGTTTGTAAATGATTGCACTTTTTCACATAAGCAAATCGTTTGTTATTAAAGTACAGCTATTTGCGAAGTGCACTCGTACAACTCAAATCTGCATAGAATAAGTTAATAGTAAAGCACCGGCGCCAGACGCCATTCATGCAACACAAATTTCAATTGCAGAAGCTACCAAAAAAACGAAAACATGTGAATTTGTTGCGCCGCTTTCAATCGTGGTAGCGCATTTCAAAGCCAAACACCAACAAAGATTTAGAAGCTTGCTTATATTTGTATAGATATATATATATATATACAGACACGTAGTAGCTATGGCAGGTGGCCACATTCCCACGTACAACATCACACGACCAACACCACACCGCACCACCCACTTCAATGTTGTTTATAAGTATGTATATATGCATTGCTGTATGTTTAGATTTCCCCACACAAATTCTGATTGGGTGGTTGGGCGTCGAATTTACATTAATTGGCCTCCAAAAAGATGCGCGTAAATATTTGCCGTATGGAAAAAAAACTCTTTTGAATATGAACACAAAAGCATTTACGTCAAAAATGTAATTTCCACCCTCATCAAACGGATATGCAAAGTTATGCTTGCAGCAGTTATACAATTCTGCAGAGTTCAGAAATTTTGCAAAATTTTACATTTAAATACGGGAAAATGCACCAACAAGCTTCTGGCTATAATCCAACAAAAAATGTGTGTATCTGAATAGTTGGCTGAGTTTTAGTAATACACTAAAGAGGAGCAGTTGGACCGACCAACTCCACTATTTCAAAATAAAAAACTGTAAAAAAGCTTTGGGGTTTGGGTTTTGAACGCTAAATAGTGTTCTAATTAAGCTAAGCAATATTCATTGCATGAGAAACGAAAAGTCGTGTTACAATTAGACAATAAAGAAAATTTTATTAAGAATGTTTTGAAACATAATTTTTTTTATTAAACAAGTATATATGTATTAGGGTGGAGCGAAAGAATTTTTTTTGTCTTAGCCTGAGGCTAAAGCTTTTAGATTATAAAAAAAGAAAATTAAACTAAAAAAAAATGTTTAACATCTAGAGGCAACCAACTCACTTTTAAAGTAAATTTCGAGTTAAAATTTTTATTTCTTAAAAAGTTTTTGATGAGTATTCTAGAAGTTAAGGAGATTCCTCTTTCTGGCCAATAAAAAGTTATCAACTTTAAAAAATTGTTTGTGGTCATTATTGGAGTTTAAAAAAAAGTTAAAATAAATTTTGAGTCAGAAACCGTCAAATTCAGTAATTTTTATATAAATGTGAAAAGTTAAAAAAAAAAATAAATTTTGTGAAAAAAAATTTTAACTCGAAATTTATTTTAAAAGTGAAGTTAAAATTTTTCATAAAAATTTCCTTATTTATAATCTAAAAATTTTACCCTTAGGCTAAGCAAAAAAAATTTTTTTTGTTTTTCGCTCCACCCTAATATGTAGGTATGTATCTTAATCGCCAGTTGCTCATTTTCCGTTCTTACTCTTACCACTATCATGCCATAGTGGTCCAGTCATCAACTTGAACGGTGCGTTTTCTGCTGGGTTTTTAGAATTAGACATTTACAGCCTCAATATGTATGCATAAACCAGCGAAATTTCGCATACAAAATTATCATGTTGGAGTGAACTAAGCGCATATTTACATACCTACATAAAACTGCACACCAATAAGGCAATTGTTGATGATTTTGCCCCGAAATTAGGTCAACTTTTAAACAGAAAAGTTGACAACAGCTCGTCGATTTACACGCAAAATGATGGACATTGGCAAAAGCGTCTACTTCGGCAATAAAGTGGCAATGCTATTCGACCGTAAGGCGATGATTATTGATGGGTAATTTGTGGAAGTTGACCAACATAAGCTCTCATACCTATGCGCCTATGAGAAGCTATAATAAATTCGAGAGCGTTGAGATCGAAATATCGCTAAGCTGTAAAACAAATGGTTACAAGTAGAGTTTTATATAACTAGTTGGCAAAAGCTTTCACATTGTTTAGTGTTTGAATTATTCGCTCAGATCGTTTTTTTACAATATTGTTAACGTTTCAATGCACAGCATTTCATTCGTCATGAAAAAATTATTATAAAATATGCGAGAGATTTCAAATACTGAAACACAAATATAGAATTATTACCAATCTGCTGTTTTCAAGAAAACTCCATTACTTTGTTTATATTTCATTTTCACTAAACGTACTTTCGCAGTAAAGTATTCACGCTGTGCCCCCACGCTAAGAGCCACACACCCTTGTAAATGTTAGCGAGCAGCAAATTGTGTTCATTTTAGTCACCAGTGCGCAACAAATTAGCGTAAAAATTGTTGTTAGACGAAAATTCATGTCATCTGCTTCGTTACATTCATGCACAAAAGTATTCGTACATTTCATTGCTCACAATATTTATATATATGGTATTACTTAACGTACTGTTATTAATAATAAATATTCAAATAACAAAACCAATCAATTTCCCTGCGAAAATTCAAAATTGGCAATTTTTTTTATTGAAATGAGTTACATTTTGATTGACTAAAACAATTGGCCATGTGACACAATTCCCTTTGACACTTCTAATACACAATGAGAAAAAATTGGCAATAGATAAGTTTTCGTTATGTTCTTTTTTTTGTGTTTTTGTGTTGTCTTTGGATTTCGGTTTTCTGATTTTCCTTAATTTTTTAAGAAAACTTATTTCAATTTATGAGATTTACAGTCTCAGTTAAGTTCTTTTCTGTTATTAACAGCACACTGACCAATTTATGGCGCACATAGTTACAATACAGTACACACTTATTAGTATTCGTACAGTGTCAATTATGCTTCGGTATAAAGGTTGCACAAAGAAAAGCACATTTCCCAACGCAGAGCCTAGGTGAAGACTTGCAACCTTTTTAAATATTTATAAAGCTTAGTATAGCTCTTACAAATAGTAAATTTGAAACAAAGTAAACCAAATTTTCCCTTTAAGCTTAATTAAATCATAATCAGCTTAAGTATTTCGGCATAGGGCAACCTTTTGTCAATTTCACTGGAGAATTTTTTCAATTTCTATTAACAGACCACTTTATAGAGCTTAGGAAACCATTTGGCCAATTACAAACGAAAAATGTCACCACTACAGCTTCCTACTTTTCAGCTACAATCCAATACATCAGAAGGATTGACTTAAGATTTAGATATAATAAAGCAGAATTTCTAGTAAAATGATAACACACACATATTGTTTACTAAAAATAAGCGAAAACATAACTTTTGCTTTAAAAAAATTTAAAATCGTATAAGCGCCACTAAAAGTTTGTCGCTCTAATAAATGCGCACAGTTCAATAAAGCATAACAGAGCAAAGAAAATGCATAATTTATTGACTCGAAATCCGTTCATTCGTTTAAAACCACCGAAATTCTCCCGTTTACCCGCTCGCACGTTCGCACTGCACAGCGTTGTATTTCCACTCAAACACCAACACCAATACAAACAAATAGAGAAATAGACAGACTGCACTGCACATATTTACAACACAGGCACTGCACTTAAGCTATTATACAATTCAGTTGTTCACTATTTACATTTAGTTTCCTCTTCCTTTTAGTCGATTGATTTGCCATATTTTCCCGTAAACTTTCCTTTTGTGTACCCCACATTTGGTTTTCATTTCTGGTATATTTGATTCCACTTAATATTTTGATTTCGTTCGATTTCGATTTTTCTTTATTTTTGCTTTTATTTCCTTCGTTTATTGGTCTGTGCTCCTCCTTCTCTTTTCTCTTTTGTCTCTTCTATTGCCAAATTTTTTCTTAACGCAGAGATGTGTGCAGATATTGAAATCATCACGTCAAATCAGTATGACGGTGCGCTCACCACCGACGCTCAACTCCCACGCGCCACTACATGGCTTCGGTCCACCCTCGTCGCGGGATCCCATGTACGCATCGATGGCGCCACTACTGCCACAATCGGCGGCCGGTTTACCGCCCGGAGCGACGATGATTGGCGGCGGTGGTCTACCATTTCGTCAGACATGTTCCTGGATGGACCGACATGGTCGTCCCGCTTCGCCACCCATGGAGTATGGTGGACGGCATACCGATCGTCGTGAACGGTAAGTTCGTTGTACCGAAATATAAGCATATTCTATTTAATTACTATCTCAAAACTAACGCAATTACTTAGAATTCGACGCGTAGAGCTGCTCATTGAACCGGGCCAGTCGTTGGGCCTCATGATACGCGGCGGCGTTGAATACGGCCTTGGCATCTTCGTCACCGGCGTTGATAAGGACAGTGTCGCAGATCGTGCTGGCCTCATGGTCGGCGACGAGATACTCGAGGTCAATGGTCAGTCATTTCTCGACGTGACCCATGACGAGGCGGTTAGTCAGCTGAAATACCATAAACGTATGTCGCTTGTGATACGTGATGTTGGTAAAGTGCCACACTCCTGTACATCTATTGAGATGGAGCCTTGGGACGCGTATAGTCCGACGGGGACCAGGTGGGTGATTGCTTTAAATAAATATATATACTTGTATATATATATATAAACAGTTGAATTGAATTTGGAATTTTGTTTGCAGAGCTCGTCGAAAAGGTCAAATAACCGCTATGGTGGAGGAGAAGGCACGCTCTCTCCTGCCACGCCATCAATTCGCAAGTCTCTCGTATTATATCGCCGAATATGCTGCGAGAGCGATGACCATAGATGCCTTTGTTGCCGTCTTATTAGAAATGTTAGACACATATGAGAAAGTGAGTCTGTGTTACTTGAGCACTTTTTCGCATCAAACTATTTGCAAGCATATTCTCACAGTGCTGTTCGTGCTCACTAATTGAAATCTCTCTTCCAATAGCATACGTTAGTGACGGAACTACGCGAACTTATATATCCAGAGGATCGTACGAGATACGATGAGCTTGTTTATCGTAGAGAACGTGATCCGTATAGCGTGGAGAGGCACAGGGTGAGTTCACATTTCTCTACTACTAATAGTCTGGCTTTTAGAAACATAACTTTTACTACCTACTTAACTTAAAAGCTTTGTTAAGTCGAGCTCAACTCACTCTTTAGCGACTATGAGATCTTTTAAAGATATCTCTTTTTGGTTTCAAATAAACAAAATGATTTAGTGGTTATTTCTATGAACCTCGGGTTGTTCGGCAGGGTGCTTTTATTAAGAAATTTAACTTTTTCACCTGTAGAAAACAGCTGTTACTAAACTTTGCTTGTGTTATAGCAAGCATGAAGTATTTCTCTAAAAATAATTGCTCGAAAGGGATGTTGCTGTTAATACCATTGTAGATTTTAAGTTGATTTTCTTCAATTCTTCCATTAGGAATGCTGTTATAGTTCAATCTGAATATACATTGCTATTTTACCTCTCTTTCTACCACTCTCTTCGTTTCTATAGCGTAAAGGAGAAACCGCACGTGATTTACCGGTAAGCTTTTTAGAAGATTTATTCTACGACACAGACACTATTTACTATTAGATACCCAAAGGTCTTTAAGTGTTTTCTTCTGACTATACAAAAAAAACAAAAAAAAAAAAAATTATAAAAAATTAAGCAAAAAAAAAATCGTCATGATATTAACTTTATGCTCTGAACGTTATTATTATTAGCAATATACTATTAGCCCGTATACGTATACAAAAGTACTCTATACACATACATAAATTAACACAAATACTCACACATACTTATATGTATGTCAATGCTTTCTGATTACTTATTATATACTAACACCAACTAATTGTGTAATTTAATAAAAGGCATGTTAACTATACTTGTTGTTGTAATGTAATTGTTGTATTAAACAAAAGTTGTATCTATAAACTATAATTGTATGTGTAATAAGTATTGAACAGTTATAATATACAAAGATATTATTTTAACTTTGAAAGTGTTATCGATTTAATTATGATTTCCTTACACTGTAACGTATCTGCCAAATACTCTATTTATATATATAATTTATAAAAATTTTTATTGTTATTGTTTGTTAAGAAGAAAAGCAGAAAAGTGCTGTAGTTGTTATAGCTTTTCTATTACTTTCCACATTTTAAATACAAAATATAAAAACAAAACTAAACTACACAGCCTTAAAAAGTCTGACAGAATCATGAAGAAGAACACACAAAAGACAATAATGCAGACAAATCATAAAAGCATACAAGCAAAATCGAAAAAAAGAAACAATATATATAAAAACTTAACATATGGCTTTAGTTTTATTACAATGTACACTTTATAAACTTATTACTACAGCAAACACATACACATATACGAAGTGTATAATTTTTCACAAACTTTTGTTCATACTTCTTAAAAAATACAATAACTCATAAACTGTAGCAAATGTACTAAACTTAATATGCCTTAAGCGCTTAGCCAGCGAGCAAAGCGTACATTGTCAAAGAACTAATTAAGCTCGGCCGCAAGCCCAGCTGCATTGGTCTTACAGATGAAATTATTTAATGAAATATTAATTATAAAAAAAAAAATGGAATCTCAAGCAGTTATCAAACGTTATAACTATACGAAATACAAGCAAACAATATATTCAATAAAGCTATGCAAATTTAAAGACGCCAACAATGAGTTTGAACAGTCATTGAAGAATACTCGTATATTTAAATTCGCGCTCATATTAAATAATAACACACATTTAAGTACTCTAACTTGATTAAGTAAATATTTTACCCACTTCTGTTACGCTAATACTGCGCTTGTTGAGTTTGGCATTAGCAACTGCCTTACTGACATCACAATGGCGTAAGTTTTGCAGACGTCGGCACAAGCGCTAAAATGACGTCATCTTGCAGTGTGGAGTATATTGTCATGCTATTTGTTTTTCTAACTTAATACTAAATGTGCAGCGGTGATTCACAAGTAATCGAAAATTTCGAAAATGTTTCGCGCTATTTGCAGCACAGGCAGCGCATATTTTATAGTTCGAATGTCAATTTTTGGTTTTTAGCTTAAAGGGTATAAGAAATATAAGAATTTATTAGTTTTCTAGAACTCACTAAAATAAATAGTTAATTGAAAATTTTTAAAAGCGAAAATATCTAGTGTAATAGCAAAGCACTTAAATTTTTTTTAAACTTTATGACCAATGCATTTCATCTTTTTATAATTTGTATCTTAATCGCAGTATCAGCCTACTACTACTTCTACTGCAGCAAGCTCTTTGCCATTTAAAACTCACATTTTTTTAAGCAGGCATATCGAAAAGCACTTAAAAGTTTATGCACAAAAAGTTTTTACTAAATTGACAAATGGGAAGATGCTGTTAAGACACTTTAGAATTAAACTTTATGTGCACACACATTTGGATCGTTGCTTGTCCAAAGTTTTGTAATAACGGGCAGCACTTACTTGAATGGGAAGTTATAGGAATGTGAAAAAAATTTTTTGGTGCGATCAATAGTTAAAGTTCGATATACTTTGAACCCAATCACCAACAGTAACTACTAAAATAAAGCACTTTTTAAAGAAAATGGCTGTCTTAGTCAGAAAAATAAAAAATATAAACGAATATCAAAATTATCTTGGTGCGACGTAGCTTGCCTTTTATATATCGGGTTTTGGCAACCCTAGTGTTGCAATCTGGCAACTCACAACTTTATCAAAAAGTTTGACAGAACGCATGTTTTGGAGATAGCTCAATCAGTGCGCCAAAAGTGCTACGAGAAATGGTTTTACACAAAGCAAAACGAATAGAACTTAATTTCGTTAATTAATATTTGTTTTTGTTCTCTAATCCCGAAATTTAAAAGGCAAACTACGTGTATGTATGTTTTTAGTTTAGGTCCGATTAGAAAGTTAATAACAGTTAGAAGAGTTATATATTGATTCGGTCGAACGATTATTTCATTGAGTATTATTTGGTAAAATATGACTACATTTCATTAAAAATAATAACAACAATTTCATATTTAAATTTATCACTACTCATATAAAATAATTCCTCTGCAATCACTCACAGTCTATGCACTCACTAATGTAAAATTTATGTCAACACCGCAAATATAAAAATTGGCAAATAAAAATGCATTCCCCTGCACCAGCAATTCACCAGCATAACATAATTTACGTATACGAAATTTATGCCCTCAATAACACCACGAAAACTTTGAGTAACCCAACCAAATGCACCGGTCACATTATGTTTTCTGTGATAATCAAATTGTATTTAGTGCCACCACCATAAATAATCACCTCCATACATACAAGCATACACACTGTGTACACCCCAAAAACGCTGTCCGCTTTCTTCTGCACACTCTCCTACTTTCTGTAGAGATTTATTGCCGCAAACTACGCCACAAATTAAATTTATGAAAAAATATGTAAAATTTAAAGCAAATTCTTGACATACGTACATACAAACGTATTTATATACAGATTACATACATACATATGTATGCGGGCAATTAGGTCGGGGCACTGACAGCCTCCACTCAGTTTCGTATATGCTTTTGTACATACACTACTTGAATTGCCTTACATATCTACAGGTAACCGATGTTGACATGGAAGTAAGCGCGGCCACCGGACGCAGTCCATCGTCAGACTCCGGGCTGGGCATGACAGTGTCGGACATGAAAAATCGGTACAGCAATTAATGAAAACGAAACGCAAAACACAAAAATAAAATATATATTTCAACAACGAAATGTATTCTTTCCTTCTATTCCATTCTCTCTATTGCTTGCTCCTTTTGGATTGCGTATTCCTTGAAAACTTCACATCTTTTGTATTTTTTGATTTTTCTCAACTGTATGAATGCTGGGCTCGCCTGCATTCTGCCATGTGGTGACCTACATACATACATACGCACATGCGTTTGTATATATAGGCCAGCGCAACAATTGCCCTATCGCCCCATGTCTGCCGGTCCCGTCTTGCATCGCTCATCCCACTATTACCATCATCCAGCGTCATATCCACATCCGCATCCACCACCACATCATCACTCATCACTGCGTCATCTGGGCGGCTCAGCTGCAGCGGTGCAGCGCGAAAGGGAGCGAGAGGCGCGTTGCTTGGCCGCCGCCGCTGCGGCCAATACAAAAACAATCGGCGCCAATACGCCTAGCAAATTGCCGGCGCAACAGCAGAATCAGAAACAGCAACATCCACAGCATGCATCCTCATCATCATCGTCGTTGGCAACAAACAATCAATCAATCTATAAAACATATGCCACGGGCGATAATAACAACAAAACTGACAATCAGCATCAGGTGAAGCATAAATTTGAAATGAACAATTAACAAAAAAAAAAACAAAAAAACAAAAACAGAAATTAACAAAAAGTTTTGAAAAAGTAGTAGAAATGCAAACGTAAGAGAAACTATTTAAACGCAAAACACTTACTGCTGTCTCTTTCTAACGCACTGCAAACCGCAAAGCATTGCAACACTGTAACGCTTTCAACTGCCAATCACCTCTCTTAGGCTAAGTGCATAGTGGCAACGCTAGCAACGCAGTGATTTCTTGAATTCATCTGCTTCCTTGCTTTGTAATATGGGAACCGCTATGCGCCTAGCCTTAACACACGCTCTTTGCTTTTACGTGCATACACTCGCTATCTTTCTCTTTCTCTCTCTCTCGGACATTTTTACACCTTTCACAAATGTGCAGCTTTTATTTAAAGAGTATTTTTAGTTACTCTAAAATATTTCGGTGTTTGTCATTTTTTAAATCACACACGTACAAAAATTTTACAGAGAAAGTTATAGATTTATATTAGGACATCTTTACTTACATATGTATTAAGCTACGTGCAATTAAAATTTGAAAAATTGACATTCGATTGCAGGCAAAACTTTGTTTAACATAGAAAATCTATTTTCTTTGCCTAGGTGATGTGTTCTACGGAGCCCATTCATCTACTCCATTCCTTTTATTTCACTTTTTTTTTTATTTACAATTAGACGCTACGTTTATGAGCAGACTAGGGCAGAGTAATAAAATTAAATAAAATTCAACAAAAATTTCTTGGTATAACAATAAAAAATCATTAAGTCCAATTTTGTTAAAATTTTTTTTGACTCAAAAATCTTTTGAATATACATAACTTTTTCAAATAAATAAAATAGCAAAGTGTTCTGTAATGCCATATAGTTTTGTTATATCAAATTTAAATATTAATGCAAGAAAACTTGATCAATTTGCCATTTGAAATAGAAAATCTCAAATATATATAAAATGTATTTACCTCATTTATTATATCAGTACACGCAGCTTTCAAGCGATCTTTCTCTTAAACGTAGCGTATTTGTATATAAACATATTTTTTTTTTACTGTTTACTTGTGTGTGTGTTAAAGTCGTTTATTTTCCCAATATTTTCTGAATGTCTGTATTCCAAACTAGAACTAATTAATACTGATACAATTTCAAAATAAAGCAATTATATCTTTTTTCTGTATTGGATGTTTCTCTTTCTTTTTGCAAAAATTCAATTATTTTAAGTGTATTTATATCTACAATATGCCTGGTGCTGAGAACTTCTTAAGAATAACCAAAATATGTTCAGTAAAAAGTTCCCAGAGCCAACAGATTCCTAATCAGTGGTGTGTATGTGTGTTGTTATTGTTTCAGTTTGAAAACACAAACTGTTTGTTATCATAAAATTTCTCCTTTGTTCAAATACATTATTTTTCGTTGTCAATCATCTACTTATTTTTATGTCTCTAGGAATACGGCTGTGATGACCATAGGTCCCGTAGAGGCAGTGAAACTCAAATACCACACTCGGAATACGAACAAGATGCGGTGAGTAGCGAAGTACATTCCGACACACAATGAAAAATATACACACACTTGCTTACTCAACAACTTTTAGCTACACTTTACACAGCATTAAGGGGGAAGCATGTTCAAGACACAATAGGGTGCTTATAATATAATGTGGGCGTGTAGACGCATATCTAAAGTTTTGAAAGGAAGTTTTTCAGAAAGCTTCGGAAAATATTAGATTATGAGAAACATGATGAAACTCAGCTTTGTGAAAAATAAATTTTAAGCAATTAAATATTAAACTAATCGTACGGGAGAAAATATTTATGAATATTTCTTAAGGATTAGTTTGAAATACATTACTGTGCCTATATGTATTCGTAGAAATATGAATTTGTGTTGAAATATGTACTTTAAAGCCCATGTGCAACTATATTCCACATGGCAAGTATAAACACATTAGGGTGGACACCTCGTATGTGTTCAAATGAGAATTTGATTTTTTTAAAAGTACTCATTTATTCAGCAATATTTATTTATTTCCATTCAAAGTAATCGTCCTCGGATATAATACACTTGTGTCAACGCTTTTTTCAATCCCCGCAGCACTACTGAAATGCGCTTTTCGGTATGGCCATCAGCTCTTTCTCCGTTGCTGACTTGATCTCATCAGTTGTGGCAAAACGCTTGCTTTTCATTGGTTTCTTCAGTTTTGGGAATAGGAAAAAGTCACAGGCAGCCAAATCTGCTGAATACGGTGGTTGAGGCATGATTACGGTTTTGTTTTTGGCCAAAAAATCACCCAGAAGCAGTGATGTGTGAGCTGGTGCATTATTGTGATGCAAAATCCACGATTTGTTATTCCACAATTCCAATCGTTGGAGCGGTATTGCCACTTCCTTATAGCATTCCTTATTAACTGTACGACGTTTTGGCAGGAGCTCATGATCCACCACAGTAGTTGAATCCTGAGCGATACTAATGCGATATTGCTTCTGCTCAAAATTTAGCAAAAAAAGTTAAAAATCGAAGAGCTCACAAACACGTGACTGACCTTTGCTGTTGTCAAAATCAAACTACTAATCGAAATTTGCTCCTGATGCAAGCACATGATAAACATATGTGTCCGATTATAACAAAAACAAAATATTGATAAACGAATGTACACGCGAAATATCAAAATTCACCTTTTCCTTTGAACACACTTCGTACTCAAAAAATATCACGACAAAATTATAGTCGAAATGTTTGCTATAAATAAATGCAAAACAGTTTGAAGATTTAAAAGGAAATATTTCTTTTTTTTAATTTGAAATTATTAGGAAATAAAAATGCCCAGCAAACGGCAAGGTGCTCATGGTAGGTGCTTACCGATTATTAACTTTGGTGACAGACCCATTTAGCTTTCAACTTCATCAAATATACCACACTACGCTTCTTTTCAAATAAAATCAACAATTTTATTGCGTCAATATTCACAAATTACCGTAAATATACAGATCAAAAATATTATGCTCACCAGCTGGTGGTGCAACCCTTAAATTCATATAACTTCTTAAAGTATGTTAAGGACATATGGTCCTAGATCGTTTGTAATATATGCATGCATGGATGTATGTATTTCGCATATATGTATTGTATATAGTTTAATAATAGCGTGCGTAAAATTAATTCTCCTCATTATCCTCAACACTTTGAAACGCTCACTGCACGACCGCACATTCGCCGCACTGCTCCTCACTACGTTTAGCGACTACGATTACTTCGATATTTCTTTTTTACACCGTCACTTGACACCCTTGCCATTCTCCAAGTGATTTCATTAATTACACCAATGAAAAGCATCAAGATTGTGGTACTAAGTTTGTTACTGTAGCGGTCGCAGTTTTACCGGCTGGTTAGGTGCGCTGTGCAAAGCCGCTTACATTTTCTCATGCAACGTCGGTCGGAACTCCTCCGCGCCACCCTGGTAACTTCGATTCGGATGCAATGCGCTTGTGGTGTTGATTATCTCATTGGTTGGCAAGTGATAGTCGCGCGGCGGCGTGTATGGGCGCACCAGGCGATGCCAGTTGTTCGGCGGGCTGCCGTTGGGTTCAAATTTCGGGCGCGGTATCCGCAATTGTTTGATTTCTGTTAAGTAAGATTCCATATCGTTGCTCTTCAGGTGTTTCTCTCTATGTGTGTATGTGTGTGAAGGTAATGCGAAGTGCTGCAATTGGAAGAGGAAGAACGTCAGTTTATTTAAAGATGTAATAAAGTCAAGTGTGATAAAACTAATTGCTTGAAAAAATAGCGTTTGATACTAAATTGAATTAGTATACAATTTAATTGCGATCGCACGATTTGAGCGTTTAAAAGTTACCAATTTTCTCTTTGCCACTTTTGGCTGCGGGGAAGCCAGAGCAATTAAGTATATAAATTGCTAGTGATTTTAATAATTTTTATACACAAAATTTAAAAAAATATGTAATAACTTCCATTGTAAATGGAATTAAACATTGATTTCTTTGTGTGCAGTGTCGAAATTTTTTCTGATTTTTTCGTAAAAATTGCGCCAATTTCTATTGTGTGATATCAATCAACCGGCCAAAGTCGTTCATAGCGCTAGGCGGTTACTTAAATATACGCCTGACCTTTTCAAAAAAAAAATTCTGTATTTCATACCGGTAGTGTATAGATATATTGACAAAAAGCTTACGAAAGCCTTCGAGCCCTACGATTGTTGATTTGAACGATAGCAAATCGGACTCAGAAGCTGTGATTCCGTTGTATAATAAAGAGAAGTGTTCGAGCGTGATAATCGCAAACTGAAAAAACTTATTAAAATGCCAGTAAATATGTGTTTGATAACTGAGATTATTACAGTTTTTTAAAGAAAAACTGCAATTATTTGCTGTTCACGTTGAAATCGCGGCAGAAATAGCTGTCAGGCAGGCAATTATAAATCAAAACGTGGACACACATACAAAAGTCGCAAAGCAGCAAGAAAAGCGTGTGTTAACAACAGCTACGTGTGTGCATGCTATATGCATATATGCATACATATTAGGGTGGGGCGAAAAAAAAATTATTATTTTTCCTTAGCCTGAGGGTAAAATCTGTAGATTATAAAAAAATAAAATTTTTGGAAAACAATTTTTTTTAACATCTAGAGGCTCACTTTTAAAGTAAATTTTCGAGTTAAAATTTTTATTTTGTAAAAAGCGTCCTCTTTCTGGCCAAATAAAAGTTATCACCTTTTGTGGTCATTATTGGAGTTTTAAAAAAGTCTTAAACGACAACATGCTTTCCTTAAGCGTTAAAATAAAATGTGAGTCAAAAATCGTAAAATTCGGTAATTTTTATATAAATGTAAAGAGTTTAAACCAAAAATAAATTTTTTTTGGACAAAAAAAATCTTGTCCAAAAAAATTTTTACTCGAAATTTACTTTTAAAGTGAGTTAGTGCCGCCTCTAGTATTAAAAAAAAAGTTTTTGTCCAAAAACTTTATTTTTTTATAATCTACAGATTTTACCCTCAGGCTAAACAAAATACACATTCGCTCCACCCTAATACATATGTACATAAATATGTTTACGTAGTTGTCTGGTTGCGAAGAGACGTGAAACGTGCGCTTTTGCGCACTACCCAACTGGAAACCGAGGCAACTCCCCTGTTAATGTGCCATTTAAAATGTGTTAAATGCAACGAATGAAAAGTGAAAGTAAAACAGCGGTTAGCGACAACAGCTACTACAACAACATCAGCAACAGCAACAGCAACAAAAGTAGGCAAACAGAAACCGAATATAAAAATAGAAATACATGGAAAACCGACAAGTATGCGCTGGAAAAACTCAACAACAACAATAATATTAACAATAATAACAATAACAACAACAACTGCACGCAAGCAGAAAAACCAAACAGTTACGCTTTTGTGGGATTATATAGCTACAACAACCACCACAACAACAAATTGTTGCCGAAATTGTGGGCAGACAAACTGTCAACATGACATCAGCCGAAAAGCAGCCGGCAGCCAAACTGGACTGACTAACTGCCTGGTTGGCTTTTCCGGCTGCTTACAACGCAACAGCAAATAAAGCGACCGTTATGCGTTGCGACAGTGCAAAGTTTGAAACAGCATGTCACGGCACGACTATTGCTCGCCACGTAAACTGTACATTTGCACGCACATAATGCGCAAACGCCAGCCATAGCAGCGAGCAAACCGTTTAAGCAAACAACCAGCAATCATAAATACAAGCACAACAACAACATTAATAATAACTGCAAATAATGCTGGCAATTCCCGAAGCGACGCGCATATTGCACTTTGATTCACTTGCTGTGCAATTACATTAATTTCCGCCACCGCATTGGCGAGCCACGCAGTGACGCGGCAACTCTGTGGGCCAACGCTGCATGCAACATGCCAAAACAAAAGTAACAGCAACAACATTAAAGCGCGCAGTGTGCATATATTTGCTATTTATGACAACACTGCGTGTGTGTGTGTGTTTGTGCTCAACTGTTTTTGTGCGTGTTTGTGCTTGAGCGCATTCGCGCCATCTTCGCTCCCTTTGGTTGCTGGATGCCACTTTTCGGCGGCGTTGCGGAAAATCCATTGCAGCGATTTTCCGGTTCTTTCGAGCTTGGCCTGCCCACAGCTGGCAATTGCGCCACACCATTCCATTCCATTTCATTTCGTTTTGTTTCGTTTCTTATCGAACTGTTTTTCTAGCTGTCACTACATCGCGTAGCTGTTATGTTTATTGCTATTGCTGTTGCTGTTGTCGGCCAACACACACAATAAGGTTATAACATGTTTGGGTGTCCGCGACCAACATTGACTGGCGCGCGCGTGTACCAAGTTCAATGCAACGCCTTTTTTGGTCTCTTTCGTGCTTCAAAGTTCATCATCATCATCATTATGCAGCAGAAATCAAGCAAATTGAATTAAATGTGTCTGGCGGCCATTACAACTTTTTTTGTGTTTAGTTTGTTTACTTTTTATTTAAAGAAGCTGCTGGTGGGAAGGGTACTTGAAAACAGACTCAATCTATTTGTGGGCCATCGTATATAAGTATGCATGCTTGTAAGTATGTATGTGTGTGACCAGCTCTTTGTTGAAAGCATATACGAGGTGTGTTCAAGGGAATAGATGAATGTTGACTTTTCGTGGGCGGTGTACTCGTACATTCCATTAGCGATATTTTGTTTTTGTTATAATCGGACACATATGTTTAACATGTGCTTGCATTAGGAGCCAATTTCGATTAGTAGTTTGATTTTGACAACAGAAAAGGTTAGTCACGTGTTTGTGAGCTCTTCGATTTTTGACTTTTGAAAGAAATGTATCAAAGAATATGTATTAAATTTTGCGTTAAACATGGAATAAAGTGCTCCAGGACACTTGAAATGTTGACTGTGGCATACGGTGAATCCACTTTGTTGCAAAAAAGTGTTTATAAGTGTTACAAGCGCTTTACAGAAGGCCGAGCAGATGTTGATGACGATGAGCATACTGGAGGTGCGACCACGCCAACAAGCGAAGAAAACATCGAAACAGTGAAAAGAAATTTTATTCTTGAAAATCGTTGAATCACTATTAAGGAAGTTGCAAAGGATGTTGGCATATTAATCGGCTTATGCCATACATTTTTCTTGTATGATTTGGACACAAAATTTGTGGCAGCGAAGTTTGTTCTGCATCACGATAATGCACCAGCTCATACATCTACGCTTCTAGGTGATTTTTTGGCCAAAAACAAAACCGTAATCATGCCTCAACCACCGTATTCAGCAGATTTGGCTGCCTGCGACTTTTTCCTAATCCCAAAACTGAAGAAACCAATGAAAAGCAAGCGTTTTGCCACAACTGATGAGATCAAGTCAGCAACGAACAAAAAGTTGATGGCCATACCGAAAAGTGCATTTAAGAATTGGAAAAGGCGTTGGCACAAGTGTTTTATATCCGTGTGGGATTACTTTGAAAGAAACAAAATAGATATTGATGAATTAATAAGTGCTTTAAAAAAAAATCAAAATTCACATTTTCCTTTGAACACACCTCGTATGTACATACTTGTCTATAAGGGCCTTTTTGTTGCAAGCTTATATGCTTATATGTATGCATGTGTGTTTGTAATGTGAAAAGCAGCAAACAAATTGACAGGTGACCTCAATTACTCTATACTTAAAAGTTTGAAAAGTTAGAAGCCTTGCTGTAGTTGTGGCATGTTGGCGCTCAGCTGTTGGTCAGTAGAGATCAATGTGCCAGCGGCGCTCACTGAGCTGTAAAATATTTCAAGCATTCGAAGGGAATTAAAAAATGCATACAAATGAAAGTTCCATTACACATACATAAGCAAATATATATGAATATGTATGTAAATATGTAGTCAAGTGAGCAATCACATGTCCAACACTAGTAGTTAATTTTGAACGCCTCGACACTGATTATTCCTACTGACAGACTTTTGCTTTTATTTTTCTAAATTATTTAAAGCGGAGGACGTATATTTTCTGGTGTGCGCTTTTCTCTTGTCACAAATTGATTTTTAAAGCTATTTTCATTTTTAATTATTTCTTCTTTAGTCATGCTTGGTGGAAAGAAACTTCTTATTAGCGGTAATTTCGATTTTGGTACCTAAAACATAAAATATTATGACACGTGACAGTGAGCGCAAATCTGCATTTGCTTTGCCTTTGTAAAAATCTTATAGAAATATAATTTCAATCTCAGCAAACTTTCAAGATTTGAAAAATCACCTTTTGGCCGTCTTTCGTTACTCCAAATTCAAATAATATTTACAGTTTTAAATATGTCTGCGAAATAAATTTAATCTCAGATATAACTGGTTTTATGTATATACGTATATATAATTTCTGCACCGGATTTTAGCCGATATTACTCATACCTCTTTAATACTCTTGTTTCACAGATTTTATCTAACATAATTTCAAAGTGCATATTACTTTCTGCAGCTGATCTCATAATAAAGAACGAACCTTTTACCCATTAATTAGACGCTTGACTAAGCTTTTGCATATGCCCCGAGACAAATAGAGTGCCTTACGCACTTTAAGCCAACATCATTATCCTATATCCTTTATACTCTTGGTGGTCATACTTATACTCGAAGCTCAGACGCATATTTTCCCGGCAATGCAAGTCAAACGAGCAATTAACTTTAAGCTTAGATGTCTAACATGCAATCTAAA